CCGGTACTGGGAACCGAACTCACGACCTTGCGCTTGCCAGGCAGGTGCTTTTGCCGCTGAGCTAAATCCCCAGCCCCCCAATTTTTTTTTTTTTTTTTTTTTTCCGGTACCGGGAATCGAACTCATGACCTTGCGCTTGCCAGGCAGGTGCTGTGCCGCTGAGCTAAATCCCCAGCCCCTGTCATTTCTTAATTGATGTACGAAATGCGTAAAATGCTTCATTAGTTCTCCTGAGGAAGGATTTTTTCCTTGGTTGTAGGTTTAGCTTTTTCTTTTTAGGTTTAGTTGTTCTAATTTGTTCAGTGGCAGGGTATCTATACGGCTGAAGCATAAGAAAAGGGGAAAAGGGTTCCAGTGAAGTCACTGTCTTACTCCTCAGCTGCCCCCTGCCCCGTAGACGGCTGCTGTTATTTCATGTAGGTCTGTCTAGACATAGTCAGTGCATCTATACCTGCATGTGTCTCCACCTTTAGACGTATAATAGCGCACTGTTCATGTGCAAGTGTACCTTTTCTCCCAGCTCAGAAGCGGAGCCAGTGTGGTGTTAGGTTCTTCAGTAAGGATCTATAAAAACAGTGTAAAATAGGGCCTAATATTATAAAATGTGGTTTTTATTAGGACACAAATATCATGTGAGGCCCTGTCAGTGTTACGCTGGCTGCTAAGAATCTGCTTGAATTTCTGGATAACTTGGTTTGTTCTGATTAGGGTCCAGAATTGCTGGAAGCATAGCAAACCTTTAGGGGAGTTTTGAATGTTTTGGAATTTTCTCGTTTTTAATCCGATGTGCTATAACAGATGACTCTGACTCACATGCAAGCCCCAAACATGCAGAAGCTGTGGCAGAGGCGCCTGGAGCAGCTGGTTCAGGCAGCTGCCGGTGGGTCTGGAGGCATAGAGTGGAGGGTGCAGGGCCAACCCTAGTTTTCCCTTCTAGACGTAGCCATGGAATTTCATCTCGGAGGCCTTCTACCTCCTGGACTTGGACGGTGTGTTAGACATAGACACCCCCTGTCCAGCTCTTCTGAGGACTCTTTTGGCCATTTCTTCTTCCTGCCCAGTTTAGCGTGACAGTGTTTGTGCAGGTTTCAGCCCCCTTGCTCAGGTGAGATGTGGTGTCTTCCTTTAGCTCATCCCAGGTATCTTCCAGGGATTTTTCTGATGCTGTAGCGTGAGCTGCAAAGAGTTGCGATGATACACACTCCCTGGAGTTGGGCCACTTCCATGGCTAAGGAGACAGTGCTCGAAGAGGTTCCCTTGCAAGTTTGGGGTCTCCAGACAACCTTCCCTTCCAACTAGATGGCCACCTATTTGGCCATACTCAGTACCCCTGCAGGGCTGCTAGTTTGTTAGACTCACAGAACTCAGGAAAGCACTGTACTTAAGATTACAGTTCTGTTGTGGTAAGGGTATACAGATGAGCCAGTCAGAAGCAGAGATAACCTAGATCTGAGCGGCACCAGATGTGAGACTGTCCACTCGCGGTGGAGTCAGGCCGTGGTACCTTTCTAGCACATCAGTGTGTGGTAGTGTGCTAAGTGCTGCCAACCCAAGTGGTTCACTTGAGTGTTGCTGTGCGATTTTTATTAGGACTTAATTGCCTGTGCATGACTGAGTGCGTCAAACCCAGCTCTGCTGCTTTTCCCAGAGGTGATCCTGCTAGCATAAGCTATCAGTCGTGGTCCTACCATGATGAAAATTCTAGGGCAAGATCAGCCAAATTCTTTGCTATAGAGATGGCCATGGGGCCCTCTTGGCATTCACCCGAAGTGACCTAGAAGTGTGGGTGACCCAATGTCTGCTGAGTTCCTGCTGACGGTTAGGGGACAGGTGCAAATGAACATCTCCTCTTCTTGTCCCTGGATGTGCAGTTCCGAGAAGCTCTTCATGTGGCTCCCAGCAGCACCACGCTGGGCCCTGGTCACGTGGGGGGGCTGACTTGACCACCTATCCTTATGTCGGTTGTCTCGCCTGTCCCAGTTGTACTTCTTCTGGCCTTCGTGCCAGGTCTGGGGATCACTGCTCAGAACAGACATTTGCCTCTGAGCCCTTTTTTTGGCCTTTTTTGAGACAGGGTCTCGCTATGCAGTTCAGGCTGGCCTTGAGCTCACTTTGTAGCCCAGGCTGGTCCCGAACTCAGAATAATCCTCCTGCCTCAGCCTCCCGAGTGCTGGGATTACAGGCGCGCGCCACCACGCCTGGCCTGAGCCTTGTCTCAAGTTTGACTTTAGGTCAAGCCCTAGAATGCACTTACTGTACTAAACTGTATTTTTCAAAACCCTTGTTTTCTCTGGTGTAAAAAGGGATTAAGAGCTGAACCTGTTTCTCTATGTATCCTTGTTATTGTTAAGCTGGTAAGAGGCTGTGATATTTCTGAAAAAGGTAACAGAGTCAGCTTTCTTACTCTCGTTCATATCCTTTGCTTTCAGTGAAGCCACACGCACAAGCAGGTGAAGCTGCACGGGTACGTAAGCAGCTGTTCTCTGCAAGGGCACAGCACTCACGCGCTCATGATGTCTTTGCAGGTCTGATTTTTGTCGCTGACAGCAACGACCGAGAGCGGGTCAGCGAAGCCCGGGAAGAGCTGACTAGAATGTTAGCGGAAGATGAGCTGAGAGATGCGGTGTTGTTGGTGTTTGCAAATAAACAGGTGAGTGGTCGGCCCTCTGAACGCTGGAACTCAATGTTACTCCCCGGTGTCCCAGACCTGCGGGTGTATGAACTGATGCCTGCCTCCCTCCTCCGCCCAACCGCGACCTCTCCCTCCGTCTCCCTTTTAGGATGTCCTATATTCATTCACTCATTCAATAAGTAAATATTAAGCTGGGTGTGGTGGCGCACGCCTGTAATCCCAGCACTCTGGAGATGGAGGCAGGAGGATTGCATCGAGTTCAAGGCCAATTTGGGCTACACAGTGAGTTCAAAGCTAGCCTGAACTGCATAGTGAGACCCTGTCTCCAAAATAAAAAATAAAAAATGGAGCATCTACTAACTTCCAGGCTTTATTTTAGGTATTAAGTATGTAGTAATAAGCGAAACATAAAGTTCTCTGTGTTTTCAGAGTTTGTATTCTAGCGGGAGGGGAGACGGTTGGTGAGTGATGTGTAATGTGTCAGGGGGTGAGTGTGGTAGAGAGAGGTGAGGCAGAGCAAGGGGGCAGAGTGACCCTGACAAGGTGAGGTGAACAAGGAGGCAGGAACCCGAGGAAGGAACCCCTGTTTGAGGAATAGAGTGGGAAGGGGCAAGGGAGGAAAGGAGGTTGGACCCTCTAGAGCCTGAGGTTGTGGAGGCAGAAGAGCTTGTGAGGAGATAGAAAGCAGTGAAGGAAGCCTGGGGAGGGGCAGCGTGGAACCGTCCAGGCTGAACTGAACTGAAGGTGAGAAAGACAGCAGAGTCACACGGATCGCTTCATCAGCCGGAGGGGAGGGCGGCCACTGTGGTACGATGGCGTGTTTCCTCCCGCCTTCTCTCCATGAGCGCGTTTGTCATATAATTGAGATTACACTGTCTCGACAGCGTTGCAGCCTGTAGGGTCACTTAAAATTTATCAACAGCATTTCCTCTCGTCATCCCACTCTGTAAACATGGTTTTCCGTGGTGGGTGGTTGTAATCCGTGTAAACATTACCCTGCTGTTCAGGTTGGATTGTCAGTGAAGTTTCACTATAACAGACTTTAAAAAGGAAAATAATGAACTTGTTAATTATAAAACAGAACATGTTCAGGGTATATTTAAAAAACAATTCAGAATATCAAGTAAAATACTCCAATCCTACTCTTTAGGGTAAAATATTATGAAATTTCTTGCGTATAATTTTCTATACCTGCATAAGCGATCATATGATTTTTATTTACATTCCAGAGGTCGCAGTATCCGTTCTGTTTTGTAGCCTGCTTTTTTACTTAGCATGTCTTTGATTCCTTCCCATGTCAGAACATCTGTGTCTTCCTTGTTCTTCAATGCTAACATATTAAACTTAGTTTGAGCTTTCTGTGTGCCAGACATGGTTCTAGGCCAGTGATGGTGAACCTTTTAGAGAGGAACTCCAACCCAAAACCCACCTGTTCATTACAAAGAGCCAGCACTGCAGTGAAACCTGAATACTGAGGTTTTACTTTAGAAAAAACAGCTAACTCAGACGTTAACACCCTTACAAGAAAAAGAAAAACAACATGGGTGCCATAGCTTTGTTGCCACTGTTTTAGGCACTTGGCATAATCAGAGACCACAATAAGGATTTCCTGTTCTTGTAGAGCTTCCTTGTTCGGGGAGTGTCCAATGTACTAAAGAAATCATTTTTATCATATGGTCATATAGGGCCAGTACTATATTTAGAAGGTGGAGCAGGCCAGCGGGGAGGCAGCGTGGGAGCTGGGGCCTACGGCCCTGTAGGCCATCGCAGGCGCTCTGGCGCTTAGCTCACAGAGCAGCTGTGCTGGAGTCTGGCGGACTTCTGTGCTCCCACGGTCAGTGACTGCCGGATTGAGAAGAGGTCTGGGGAGCAGGCAGAGAAGCGTGGAGCCACGGAGGAAGCTATTTCCGCGATCGGGTCAGATGCTGGGGCTGGGTCACGGTGGCGGTGGTGGCGGTGGTGATAGGCAGTCTGCGTATGTCTTCATGGTGGGACTGCTGGGGTCCCGACAGATTGGCAGTGGGTTTGAGAGAAAACCAGCTTGAGCACCTGAGGTGGGGAAGACGCGGTCAGGCGTCTCTTGGGAGGAAGAGCGTGGCTCGTGGTGCGGGCGCGGCGTGCTAACCTGGCTTTCCCATGCTCTTTTCTAAGGATCTTCCCAACGCCATGAACGCAGCAGAAATCACGGACAAGCTTGGCTTACATGCCCTTCGCCACAGAAACTGGTATATTCAGGCTATTTGTGCTACCAGTGGAGACGGGCTTTATGAAGGCCTGGAATGGCTCTCCAACCAGCTGAAAAACCAGAAGTGACCCGGAGTTCGTCCCTGAGCACTGCGACAAGTCAGCGGGCCTCTTCGGTGTGCGTGTGGGAGTGAGGAGCCCGTGCGGCTGGGAGCGGGCGGCTTTCTCACACTGTGCCTTGTATGCGCTGGAAGAAAACCGGTCTGACGTTGCAAACACTACCCTCCACTTCAGTATCTTTGATGATCACTTCTGCAGTTGGCGGAGGAGCCCAGAGGGCTCTGGTGTGTGACAGCCAAAGTGGTCTTCAGGGTGGGAAGGAGCGTTGGAGTGTATTGTAGCCCTAGGTCTGGCGTCTCTGCACAAAAGGAGTCCTGTTGGACTTTGGTATCTTTTTGTAAAAAGAAAGGAATGAATTATCCTTTTCCATGACTGTCAAAGCTAACAGCTCACTTTTTGGTGCTTTAAAACAGATGGTCCTCCAGAAAAAAAGGCACTTGCTTACTGCAAGTGTGGAGAGGTTCAGACTGGAATGTTCCCGTACGTTCTATTTTAGCCCAGGCTGCCTGGTTGAACATGCTTTACTTACAGAAATCAGTGATCTTTTTCACTAGAATTTCAGAACGGTAACACTAGAAAATTTTTCAGCTCTTCCCTTTTTTGCCAGATGGAGACTGTTTGAGGTGGTCACTCAGGTTGGGGCCGAGGCTCTTTCCTGGAGGCCTGGGGTCCACAGTGGAGTGAGGTCGGGTGGAGGAGGTGAGGTAGGGTCACATTTGTGTTCTCCGAGGCTGCTGTGCCCACTTCCCTCGTCTGTGCCGAAGCTCCCACATGTGAAGCCGGAGGCTCACTCTTGGGTGACATTTCTGTCATTTTGAACAGCTGCCTCAGTTCACCTTGAGCTTTTGGTTAGTTTCTGACCCCAGACCTACACACCTGTAAGTTTTGAGATTTTATGAGCGAGTCAAGAAGTTACTTTGGGGGATGGAGTTCCTGGCAGCCCCTAGAATTGTCCCCTACTCTGTGCTAAGTTTTCCTGTGAGAAACGTCTGTCTGGGCCACTCTCCAGGGCACTGACTCTTTCCTGATGGCAGCGTGTTTCAGAAACTGTTTGGAAACGTGCTTCGTGTTGTCCTCTGTTAATAAAAGTGGTCTGGAGGTGAGCCGGGCTCCCTCAGGCTGGGCTCTTCTGCGCAGACAGCTGCTGGGCACGTTGATAACTGAGCACTCCCACTGTTCAACCTCTGAAAATTCCTCTCTAAAATCTTCATTCAAATTAAAGGGATGGGAGGATGAAAGGTAAATTCTTAGTAAAAGTGAATGCTGTTTATTGATACCAATGCATTTATACTAGGAAAGAATTTCATGTGGTGGTAATGTGGGGTATAATGTTTTTCTTCAAAATATTAACCTTAAAGAGTTGCAACGGTGGCAACTAAATCCAGATGTGATTTGTTACCATGGAGTAGTTCTTCAGAAATCTTCAGATTATGTGCCTCAAATTGGCGGGGACTGTGTGTCACCAATTTTGTGGGTATTTTTGGTACCAGGAACTGAACTCATGACCTTGTGCTTGCCGGGCAGGCACTCCACTGCTGAGCTGTATCCCCGGCCCAGTGATTTTGTATTTATGCTTGCTATAGTGTCCTGCTGTGGTGGTGGGCCTCATTAAACACTTGCTGACTGATTGGACAATAAAGGACTTGCTGTGGAAGGAGGGAAGGACAGCCATGTACATACTTCTGGGTGTCCTTTTTTGGAGACAGAGTCTCGCTATGTAGCCCAGGCTGGCCTTGAACTCGCAGCAATCCTCCTGTCTCAGCCTCCTGAGTGCTGGGACTTCAGTCTTCCAGGTGTTTTGAATTACTTTAAAATAGTTTTCTCTCTGTATCTTACACTTTCTCCTCGCACCCCCACCCCAGCCCACAACCCAGGACGAGTGCACAGGGGCTCCCTGGAGGGGCTGGCCTGGCGCTTAGCCTTAGCCGCGTTTCTCGTGGGTGCTTTCGGTCCCCTTTCACGGTGGCTCCCGCTGTGACTGGAGCTGGGGGGCGGGGTCTGTGTGAGGCAGGCACTTCCGTGCAGTGGTTTTGGGCAAAGCCCCGGGTTCCTGGGCGCCGCGCTGTGTCCTGGGCACGTCACTTTCCAGCTGCTGCCTCAGGTCGCTTCCTCTCAGCCTTCACACCGCTGGAGCTCGGTTTGCTGAGCTGTTCCCGGGAGACTGTTAAGCCCCCTGAGCCGTGAGGGTTATGTGGCGCACGCTTGGAACGCTCTGCTCTTTTCCTGGGACATCTTGGTGTCCAAAGGGGAGCCGCGGTGCCGGCCACAGACCGCCCGGCGCTGTTGGTAGGAGTGGGGCGGACAGGAGGCAGAGCCGTCGCCGTCCTGCTGTGTGTGCTCACCTCCCGTGTGGAGAGCCTGTGTCCTCTGACCGTGCTCAGGGCCGCAAGGCAGGCTGGGATGCTCGCGTCACCAGCACACCGCGGGGCGTACCCTGCTTTCTTCATTCCCTTCCTTTTTCCTCTGTTTTCGTTCAGTTCTTTGGGTTTCATTTTATTCAGAGTGTGCAGCCGTCACCACTAATTTTAGACCGTGACCATCACCACCAAAGAAGCCCTGTGTGCAACAGTGGCCACTACCCACTGGCGTGCCCTTTCTGCGGAGTGAGGGTCGGGTGCAGCAGCGAGGTGGGGTCGCGTCTGTGTTCTGGCGTCCTTGTCTCCGCACAGGTGAGGGCCTGGGGAGCAGGTGGGGCTGGTGCTTTCGAAGTACTGAGGTGCCGCAGGCCCATCTGCAGCACAGACCTGAATTACAGTAGCGGACAGACGGCGCCCCGGGGAAGGCCGCGCCTCGTGAAGTGGCTGTGGACGTCACTGTCTCGAGAGGGGGCGGGGCACTGCTGCTGATTGCTGTGACAGCAGGTGGAAAGAAAGGCTTGCGGTTACCCGTTTTGTAGTATTATTTTTTATTATTGTATCCTCAATGTTAGCAGAGTTCCTGGCATTTAACAAGCGTCTGGACAGATCAAATAAGTGAAAAGAAATTGTCAGGTGAGTCACACTTTGCAGTAATATCTGCTCCTGATGGAACACAGGCCCTATCAGTACAGCAGCACCCAAAGTCTGCCTGCAAGGAGCTCAGGTACAGCACGGGTTCAGAAAAGCCTGGCTGAAACAGGCCTCACAGGGAGTGAGTTCCGCACGGCGAGAAGACAACGTGTAATCACGTGACCCAGCTTCAGCAGTCCTCCTAAGGCGACGCGCCGGGTATCATCCAGGACCTCCGGTTTCTGCTGCAGCTGCGGATGGCTGCCGTCGCCTCATCTCTCAACGTGAAGTCAGAGACCGGAAACTGCCCGATAATGCGAGTTGGTGTCACAGACTTGGGGGTCCCTGCCACATTCCTGTGAATGTGGAACCAGATCAGAACCTGGGCTGTGTTTGTTTGTGTGCTTTGCCGTAACCACCTTAATCTCGGGATCCTCTAGTAGTGAAGGGTCCTCGGGCTTGGCCCAGAGTCTCTCAGCAGAGCCCAGGGGGGCTGTGGGCAGTGATGCCCTTGGAGTGGCTGGATCAGTTTCTCCTGGGCGAGGTGTGGGTGACACTCCACTTGGTAAGTCGCTGGTTTATATTTCAGCCCAGGCTGTTCAAGAGCTTTTCAGTCCAGAAGTGGCTGAAGTTGGACACCCCAGGGGCTTTCATCGACCAGCCCTTCCATGCCCTCCCGTGTGCCCGGGAGTGTTACTGTGCTGGGGACGATAATTGCCTTATCGTCTCTGGGGACGAGTTCCTTCCCCTGTGGAAAGCGAATGAGGTAGAAGGAGGTAGACGTCCAGGCCGTCCAGTCTGAGGTCCCTCGGTCTCCTGGCAGGCCTCTTCTCCAGGCCCCTCTCAAAGAACGTGGGCCACGCCTTGCTAAGAGCGGAGAGGTCCTCCCGCCTCACGAGCGTCTCTGGGGTCGCCTCTTGGACGGCTGCTCCCACCTCGTTCTCGTTCTGATAGCTGTAGGCACAGTTGTAATATCCCGCATTGATGGCCACCTTCACGGCTTCACGACCTCGCCCGGGGGAGACTTCCAGGTCCCCAGGCCCGCGGTGGGCGTCTTGGCTTTGGTGCTGAGCTCCACAAAGCCGTCCGTGGTTGCTGCAGAGGCAGTTGTGGTTTCTGGTTGCTCTTATCAGAGTAGAACTCTAAAGCTGGCATCAGGTCCCTGTGGCTCTGTCCGTTTACTCATTGGACTGTTCAGCCTCTGACCCTGGATTTCCTTTCCTGGAAATGGGCGTTCTCTGGCTTTCCTGACGTGCAGCTCTTTGTGAATTCCCAACATATGGGATAATTTGGGCATTTGGGGCTCTGAGAGTCAGTTCTGTATATTACAGTACATATAATTTGAACTGTCATAAATGCTGTGAACAGGGCTGGGAATATTTACATATGGTATTACTGAAGACAGAAGGGGTATTTTAAATTTTTTTTTTAGTATGCAGTTGCAGTGTCTAATGATTACATTCATTGCCGAGAGTTGGGACCTACACATCACACATCCTGATTCTTTTTTATTCCCTTCCCCTCCCCTAGAGGGGTAAGTTTCAAAGAAGGTTTTCTGTGGGACACTTAAAGTAGTGGTGGCAGACCTACGGCACAAGTGCCGCAGCGGGCTGCGTGTGTCCTTGAGAGCTCTGAAAGTTTCGCCTCGTTGCTGCAAAGTGACCTGAGGTCCTGCGTAAGGACCTGGTACAGGTTGTCCAGCAGTGCAGAGAAAACCCGATGATACGCTATGGAGAGTATTTGTTTGAAACTGTGAAAGCTTTTTGGTAGGTAGTAGCTTTATGGAGGCATAATTCACATACCGCACAGCTCGCCTGATTACAAGTATAAAATGTATGGCCGTTACATATCACAGCTGTGTGCGAGCATCACATTGTTTTGAGAACATTTTCTAAAGATGCCCTATGCCCTTCAGCAGTCAGTCTCCATTTTCCGCATTTCCTCCTCAACCTCATAGCCCCAGCGCTGGACACCTTTAATCCCTGATTTTCTTTTTGGGTTTGGTGGTCAGGCTTTTTTTTTTTTTTTTTTTAAAGTAATTAAACCAAACTGTGCTACATCCCTCACTTTATTTATTTATTTATATGTATATTTATATTAGAGATGGGTTTGATAAGATTCCTGGACTGGCCTTGAATTTGTGATCCTCCTGCCTCAGCCGCTTAAGTAGCTGGAATTAGGGATGCATCTTAAACTTTTTTCACCGCTCTGTGGCCTCTCTCTCTCCTCTCTTTTTTTGTCTTTTTGAGACAGGGTCTCACTGTGCAGTTCAGGCTGGCCTTGAGCTCACTCTGTAGCCTAGACTGGTCTTGAACTTGCAACGATCCTCCTGCCTCAGCCTCTGGAGTGCTGGGATTACAGGCATGCACCACCATGCCCATCTTCTCTATTTTTCATCCTCATCTTCTTTTACTCTGATGTGTAGCGTGGGAGGTCATTTCCATGGTAAGAGGATCCTGGGGGAGGGAGACAGAGAGAGAGAGAGAGGGAGGGAGAGAGGGAGGAGGGAGAGAGAGAGAGAGAGAGGGAGAGGGAGGGAGAAGGGGGCGGAGGGAGGGAGGTGCGTTGGCCAGTGTTTGGTTGCTGCTACTCAGTGCCACTAGGTGGTGCTGCTGCTCCACGCTAGCTGCCTCACAGGCTTTCCTGGCTGCAGTGGCCCAGGCCTTTTCCAGCTGTAGGGGAACCCTCATCTTGCCTGGTGGGTGCTGAGGTCTGCACACCTGGAGTGACTCAGAAATCCGCTACATAGCCAGGGGTGTGTGTAGAGAAGGCACACTGGGCAAAGGACGTACATGGTGATGGTAATAAGGGCGGGGCAGCAATAGTAGCAATCGCCGCCCTCTCGAGGCTCCCTACGGAGGGGGAAACTCAGATAATGCCAATTGCTGGAGGCCACATGGGCATGATTCAAATACCAGCCTGGGCATCTACATCCTTTTGAGCACCCACTGCTGCCCTGGAGTCTGCTAAAGGCAGACACCGCCCACTGTCCCCACCCGCTCATGGCAGAGGAGAGGGAAGCAGCAAAGGTGACACCACCTTACAAGGGTGCTGGACTAGAAGAGGGGTTGAGTTAATGGTTGCAGAGCTGCACATTTACTAAGCACCATCAAGTTGTTCCCGCACAGGGGGTGAAGGATGCGCTGTGGAAGTTAGACCTTAAGCCTGTGTGTAATTTGTAATCGTGAAACCAACAGTGATGACGGCCCCAGCTGAGCAGGTCTCAGCAGCACGGCAGGCGTTTTAAGGGAGAGGGAGAGAGCGTCCCTGAGTAGAGCACCCCTACTGGGTGTAGGGGTTGGCTGCCAGGGGTTCAGGTCCTCACAGAGCAGACCACACTGGTAGCTCAGCGTCCTTAGAATGCTGAACTGGGGCTGGGGATTTAGCTCAGCGGCACAGCGCCTGCCCAGCAAGCGCAAGGTCATGAGTTCCATCCCCGGTACTGGAGGGGGGGGGGTGCTGAACTTTATCACTTATTTTTCTCTTCCTTGTAAAATAAACCTCTCTGTTTTGCCATGTAGCATCTCTGACAGCCATTACATTCTCCCAGGTCACTCGTATCCAGGGCAGAAAGAAATCCCAGTGTTTTTCACAGGATAAGATTCCCGGGCTCCCATTTTCCATTTCCCTTGATCTGTCAGCATTGTTCTTGAAATGTGGTGGATGAGGT